ATGTGAAGCGAAGGAAATTTGATCATCTGAGGCAGATGAATCCGGATACGGCTGCGTCCTTGAGAGAAGTGTACAATGAATCACAGAAAATTAGACGAGAGGAATGACAGGAAAACAGTTATAAACATCTGTGGCACGAACTAAGTGAGAGTGGTGGATACAGCAAATGGCATCGAACAAATCCAGCTGGTGATACAGTGCAAGACGTTATGTTTGCGCACCCTGATTCAATAAAGCTTTTGCAGTTATTTCCATACGTCATCCTGATGGATTGCACGTACAAGACTAACAGGTAATAATTATTTAAATGTGTATTACATTTATTATATATATATATATATATATATATATATATATATATATATATGTAAGAGTTGACTAAATTATAATTACCTTCATGTAGATATGAAATGCCTCTTTTGGAGATCATTGGGGTTACTCCCGTGGGAAGGAACTTCACTATTGCCGTTGCTTTTATGTCACGTGAAGATGGGGACACTTATGCATGGACATTGCGATGTTTGCGAGACATATTACCAATCGGGATAGAACCAGAAGTGATACTGACAGATCGTGAGCTGGGCCTACTGAAAGCATTGCCAAACGTGTTTCCACATTCGCATCACATGTTATGTTTATATCACATAAACAGAAACGTTGAGGCAAACGCGTCAAAATTCTTGGGTAACACCAAGTTGGGTGTACTGTTCCGGAGGACGGTGTGGGCAAAATTAGTCGAATCTGAGACTGAGGAAGAATACGAATGCAACTATAGAGAGATAGTTAGTTTGTACGGGCAATATCCGAAGCTGATAACTTACATCAATGAAACGTGGTTGATTTATAAGGAGAGATTTGTTAAGTGTTGGACCAACAACATCGTTCATTTCGGTAACACGACGACTAACAGGTATATAAATTGATTTTACTATAAACTCGTTACGTACAATCTTTTATACACATGTTACATTTATTCATTATTTGAGTGTTTTCTCGAAACAGAGTAGAGAGTGCACATCGTGCATCGAAGCGTTGGATCCAAACATCGACTGGAGCTATGGATACAGTTCAAAATGCACTAGATGCGCAAGTTGACCTTCAAATTAACAAACAACAAATCACAACACACGAATACCAATACATAAAAAATCCGAAACTAATACATAAATAGGTAACATGTCCTACTGTCCACCCCTCGACCCCCGACCCCGAGTCCTCGGACCTCCCCCGCGACCCCTCCTAGGTAAGAGACGCAAATAGTGGGCATGTGGCGTCAACAAGTCCCTCAACTGCGGCTGAATGCTCAGGAATGCCTCAGCTGCGTCGTCACCAGTCAAACCGAACACGATCGGAACTAGGAGCCGAGCTATGTCGTTGGCGAACGGCTGGTCTGGCGGCACCGCAGCAACAACCCGTTCTGCAGGCGGAACTCTATCAGGGTTGCTAATGAACCGGTGCGTCCGCTCGATGTACCACTTCATGTACTCCTCGGCAACTGTTTCCGGCGGCCAGGCTTCAGGGTATTGCGACAGGTCAATGAAGTTGGCGTACTCGTTCTGCCACATGCCGCCAGGACCGTGGAAAGTGACTTTGTATCCCGCGCCAAACAAGCCGCGGTTATGTGGCAAGTTCGATTCAATTATCGGGAAAGGAATAGTCTGGACTCTTCCAAACTGCCGCAACCCTCGGTCGGGCATGTACGGCTCCACTATATCCATGAACTGTATCGTGCCGTAATACATGCTCCGAGGATGTAAGTAATGTGCACCGGTACCATACGGGGTCCAACAAACCTAAGCATATTTTAAACTAATTAGAAAAATCCGTAACTCTACTATAGACATAATTAGAAAAATTATTACTCACATCTCTTTCGGTCATGGCGTCGAGTATTTTTCGGTATTCCTGCAGCGTGGTTTTATTGCCTCCACCATGGGCCCACCTTCTGCATCGATGCTCAAACTCGGCATATGAACGGGAAAGAGGTGGTCGAAAGCAGGGGAAATACTCAAAGATCCAGCACTGCAAACAAACACCAATGAATAAATAAATAAAATAGAAGTTTAAATAAATAAATAATTACTAATAAAGGTACACGTACCAGAAGGAGAATTACACATCCACAGAGACTGTTCATCCCAGCGCGGGTGGCAATACCCAATTGGCGGTACATGTTTGCTAAGCATGCCGAAGCCCACGAACTTGCCGACATTATCGAGATCGTTGATAAAATGGATCCACCACGGCTTTATGTTAGACGCTGTTTTGTCTACAAACAAAACAGACCCAAGCAGAAACATCAAGTAGCCCTTCATCTTCTTGTCGTCTGTGGCGCAGGGAAGGGTCAACTGATCTCTCACCTTAACCCAACCAACTCCCTTATTTCGAAACATCTCATTGGTGTCCATAAGACCGACACCCAATACAGATGCAAGACTCTGTGAGCACTCTTCTACCGGGCGAATTTCAGACACTGATGGTCCGTCCAGCCGCAACGCCAGGATGAAAGCGACATCGTGGAGCGTGATCGTCATCTCGCCCCATGGCATGTGGAAACTGTTCGTCTCCGGCTGCCACCTCTCCACGAAAGCTAGCATGAGGTTCTTTTTCATCCTCTTCAGAAAACAGTCTCGTAAGTGGTAAAGACCTGTTGCCTCCAACCTCGCAATCATCGTGTTATCCTGCGGGCCGCGGTAGTCCTCGAGTGCTTTGGTCCTCGACTCGCACCGTGTAGTTTCACGGCGCTCCTGAAAAATATTGCATGTATTGTTAGCTAAAAAAAATGAATAATATAAGAATTATGTAAAGCACGTGTTGACAGAAAAACTTACATATCCTTCCCAAATGTACATCGCTATATGCGACTTGAACCATCGCATAAACTCTAAATTTTGCGGCCCTCCCTCGCACGGACCCTCCAAGTACGCAGGACCAGGCAGCTGCGGAAAGGGTAAGGCACGACCACCTCTACGATCCTGAAATGCATCTGCTGGCCCATCATCTTCCTCCATCTCCTCGTCAGTATCCATATTATCGTCGTCGGCATGTGGCAATGTACAGGGTCCGGCTCCAGCTGCAACAGCTTCTCGTCTCAGTCTCTCTTCTTCCCGCTGTAACGCTGCTTCTCGAGCTAACTGCTTTCTTCTACGCGCGGAAGCAAGGACATCTCGGTCTCCAATGCGATCCGGATCTTCCGGTATTTGCCCCCTTCCCACTCAAGGCTTTCATTAAGCTCTTGCCTTTACCGGCAACTTGACTCAAAAGACTTTTCCCCCGACCTCCTGCCATCTACATTTTAAATAAGCACTTTATTAATATTTCATATAATAAAAAAAAAAGAATTGAAAAAAAATATATATATAAAAAAAAAAAAAAAAAATTTTAAACACTCGTGTGAATTACACGAGCGGAACCACTTCGCTCGTGTAAATTCACACGAGTAAAAATCAAACTCCCATTTTTTACGAAATAAATTAAAAAAAAAAAAAAAAAATATTATAATTCACACTCGTGTGAATTTACACGAGCGAAGTGGTTCTGCTCGTGTAAATTCACACGAGTGTTGCTAAGCTCGATTTTTTTCGTTTTTTTTTTCGGATTCGTAATCTACATAACAAGAGGATCGTAAAAACGTAAAAATTACCTCCGATCTGTTGACAATTTGCACGGGCTTTGCGAAAGAAAATCGAGAGGGTTGAGAGAGTTTTTTGAGTTTTTTACCTTTTGGTTTTTGAGAAATGGTAAAAAATGTGCCTGAATGTTTAATTTATGCCTGCACAAATCATTTCAGTTTTCCTTTTGAGAAACAAACGCACTAAATATATATTTTGTACATATCTAGGGTTTTCTCAATATTTCTCCACCAAATCCTCGAGAGAAGAGGCGCAAAAGAACTAGAAGCAGAAAACAGAATAGGGGCCAAAAAAAAATTAAAAAAAAAAAAAAAAAAAACGAGCTGAGGAAAAATCATGCCGGCTCTCATCCACCGTCCATATCTCCATTATTTGGAGATTGACAGAGGAGTGGTGGTAGAGAACTAGTTTTACAATCTTCAATTGATGGGCTTAAAATCCATGTAAGTTTTTACCTCTTTAAGGCCGTCTCCAACAATTTGTCTAAAAACGGTTGTCTATATCTATATTATACACAATGAACAGTGTTTTAGCACTCCACTTTTAACATTGCACTCCAACAATATTGTTTATATTTTACACAATTATAATATTTAATTATTTTTATTAAATAATTTCTACATAACATTCAATTATTATTAAATATTAATAAAAATGTGTATTATTCTAAACAATATATTTATATGTTGAATATTTAATAATTTTTGTTTTACAAAATTATTTGACTTTTATTTTAGTTAATATACTAATAACTAATAATACTAATTAATAAGTATACAAAAATAATTTTAAATTTGATAAAAGAAATTTCAATAATTTAATTGATATATATAAATAAACATTAAAAATTTATAATTCATTATGAAATATTTTTTATGTTAATTAAAATGATAAATATTTTTTTTAATTTTATTTATAATTAATATTAAGTAAAATAATAAATTTCATCTTTAGTACAATTATTTGCAAAAAAATAAGACAATATAAAATACTTTTTAATGATAAATATATTATAAAGAACAATATAATATTATTTTAATATCTTTTGCATTAGCTAAATTGTAGTTTTGGTTTCTCAAATTTGAGAAGCCAAAGTTACAATTTAGCCAATTTGTTAATTATGCATTTTACTTTTGGAGCTCACTATTTTGATCTTTGTTGTTCATATTGTGTATAATATAGGTTTACATTAAACTCTTGGAGATGCTCTAAATTCTTTTAGATACTGGTTTTTTTTTTTTTCCCTTTTCAGTTGAGGATGATTTTTGATGAAATCAAATACTACAATTTATAGAGTTGATTGGTGTTAAATTTTTTTACAGTGGTGGTTGATGAATTAAATTGATAGCTGAAATTGGCAGTCGTAGTTGAACTACTGCAGATTTGGTGGTTGAAAGGGATGGGTTGTGGAATTTTTTATTATTTTTTATTTTTACACAATTTGTTAAATTGTAATTTTAGTTTCTTAATTTTGAACATGCAAAATTAAAATTTAATAAATTTTGCCTTTCCCATTTTGTTGTTGGAGAGGTGATATTGGGTCCAAATTGTGTAAAAGATGTAAAATATAGGTATGCATTGTGCTCTTGGAGATGCTCTTACGTACGGTAATTTCCAGAGAATTGCAATCAAAAGATGAGAAATAGTCATTTTCTTAATAAAATAAAATACTAAAATCTAAAATGGCACCTGGAATTATATTCATATTATATGCTATTGAAAATAAACCAATCTCTAGCATATTTTCTTAGGTCTATGAAAGGCCTTATTAAACTTTTTAAATCATTTACAAATTTTACCCACATAACTTCTCATTATATTATTTAAATAAAGTAGACAAAAGTACAATTAATTTTATTTGGAGAACAAAGTACAATTAACTTTATTTGGAGATTGGCATGCACCATTAATCCATTGTCATCATATTCAATTGGAATAGATGGAATTCAAAAACTCCATTCCAATTCCACAACCAGCTTACGCACTATTGATCTATATATTATTTCACCAATATAATTTTTTTTTTAATCACAAGATCGATCATTTTACTTTAAAACACGTGAAAAAATCAACGATCAAGTGGGTTGATTAGAAAGAAAAAAAATCTTCGTAAAAAGTATTTTAATAAAAATAAAAGGCTTATTTTGTGAATTTAAATTTGTTTTTTTAGTAATTTTCTTAAAGGGAGAGATCTATGTAATATATTAAAATACAAATGATATATATGCAATTAGACAAACTAAATGTCCCAAATCACTAAAACCACGAATCATGAAAACATTTAACATATAAAATATAAATTACTTAACTAGCATTTCTTTGTCAGCCGAAAATTGAATCCCCCATTTTTAATTATATAAATAAAAACAATGATCAAATGCGGCTAAAATTTAAATTCAACGACGTGTGACTATAATTAATCCAAATATTTAATTTCTCATTAGCTGTATAAAAAACAAATATTTGAAGAAATCTCAATACTAATATTATATTAATTTCGTGATAAATGGAATATTGAAATGGTCAATCTACTTGCTCCTAACCAATTTTCAAAGATAAATAATTCCGGCAGATTGTTTGATGTTCCTCGTGTTCATTTTTATAGATTGTACTAGGGTTTCTAGATGAATTGAGTCGGCTCGATAAAAGCTTGAACTCGATTTGAGCTTTCTAACGAGTCTAGTCTGCTCATTTTTAGTTGTTCATGAGTTCGCTAGCCAACTTGCAAGTTTTTTTTATTTTAAATATAATTACTATAATATATCTAATAAATTCACATAAATATATATATTTTTTTAAATAACAATCAAGTTCGGCTGGTTTATATACCTACACTGTACTTATCTTAATCTTGAAAATTGATCAGGTTACAAATACTTTTATGGACTAATGTTATTAAAATGTACATACAGATAGGAACAAAAAATAGTCACCATCTGAAGATATATAACTAAATATAATCTAAATCCACCAACTTTTTTGTAATTATCAAAGTAATTTATTTCCAAAATTTAACATTTTTTCCCAGAAATTATATTATATTCAACACCACACCTACTTAGATAGTTAGATGTGTCTTCCACTCCATATACACTTGTTACTTAGTTCCAGCTAGCATATCATAGCCATCACTCTCAAAATCAATTAGTGTGGATATATTGAACAATGAAATATTATTTTTAGGGTTTATCGCAAATAATTACGTTTTCTATATTGAATAATTAAAAAAATATAATCAGTGTTATTAATATTAATAAAGATTCACTATGATGCCCTTTTCTTTCTAGGCATTTGATCCCCCAAATGATGAGTTTTTAGGAATTATTAAAATATTTTAATTATTTTTGCTAATGTTAACACGGAGGGTTGTCTTTTAACCGTCAAAGTAAATGAGGATGTTGAACGCAATGAACCTTATGATTTTAGGTTAAAGCGGTATAATATAGTATATGAACTTGAAATTCAATACCCAAGTAACGAATTTTCTCTAAAAAAATGGCGGGAACTTATATAATTTCCAAAAATGATAAGCATGATAGGCAATTGCATATTATTTCAACACCAATTATTTCGTGAAAATTGGTATATGGAATCAACTGCAGATAAATTAGAGACATACATAATTAAATTCTATGTAGTGAAAGGACAAAGATATGTGACAACATAAGGGTGTGTTTGGTAGGGTGGTCGACCAAAACCTCAAGTCACTATTATTATATTACCAAAGTTTTTATATATAACAAAATTCATTAGAATTACGCTATCAAAAATTTCGGTATACCAATTCAGTAGGGTGTACGATCAGCGTGGAAGTCAGTGACTCAGTGTAGGGCCAGGAATGGCCATGGCCTCATCCTCAAATTTTAATTTTTTTTTACTACTATATTATATTTATTTAGTCCACCCAAAATCCAAAATAATTCAAAAAAAATTCAAAAAAAATTCTTTTTTTTTTTCTTTTCCTATCTTCTCGTTTTGTTTAAAAAAAAGTTCATAATCTTTTTTTTGGGCACTCTTATAACAATCATTGTTGTCATCTTTACGTTTTTTAATGTATATTCAACCCCAAATTATAAAATCCCGACTTCACCGTTGTGTACGATAGGATGATTATATTGTTATTATAGATTTTAATACCGAGGAGGTTTTATTCTTGAACTTTTTGCCGAAAAGTTGCTAGGATATGACATGGTAATAATTACCTCCGAAGTTAATACCAAGGAGATTTTATTCTTGTACTATAAGGCGAAATTTCTCGCCCCCTAGGGCCCCCATCCCTTGGCCCGACAAGTATTTGATGGAGGATTGTAAATCATGGTGACTCAACGGTCGGTTAAAGTAGCGGACCCGAACCTGGTGCCCACAACGAACCAATCCTCATTAGAGTTGAAATTTCCACACTGCGCTGCTAGAATTCGATCCTAGAACCTTGTATCAACTTATCACTTTCGAAACCAGTTGACCTATACTCATGCGGATAAGGAGATTTTATTCTTGAATATACAACATGTGTTTTTCTATCAAAATTATTTGTGTGACACCACTATCTATATATCAATATGTGATCCATAAACATCTAAGATATGACTAATATCAATATGTGGTCGATAGACATCTAAGATATGACTAATCAAAAGTTTTTCTTTTTTTTTTGCAGATGACTAATCAAAAGTTATTCATGCTTGAAATCATCAATTTTTTTCAAATAAAGCTTTCTTAATACATAACAAAAATATTATGAAAAAAAAGTTCTATTTATTTTATTTTATGTAATAATACGATTGTAATTAATAGTATTGTGAACTATTACCCTACCAAATAAAATCGATACAGTAGGATAGGACAATTACCATCGGGTAAAAACTGTATTTTTAGTAGAAAATCGATATGGTACAATAGGGCAATAGGTTGCGAGGGCATTATTCACATGTAATATAAAATACATAATAAATATATTATTCTGAGAGTATTTTTTTTAAAAAGAAAGAAAATGACTTTTTGAAATTATTTTCCTAAAAACGGATTGAAAATCAGATTCTCGTGTATAATCTAATATAATTCCAATCCAAAAAAAAAATATCGTAAAAACCGAAAATCGGAATTTTTTGTATTCGCAATGAATATTTAAAGTGATCCGTATCAATTTATTTTAGTTAGACCTGGCATGGTTGGAACCATGTCCTCCTTAATGATTGCACTAATTATGAGTAAACAATTTCTCCAACAATAACTAATTCACCATTAAAATATTTTTGTGCCAAACATTATAATATGGTGAAAGTTGAAACATGAACATAAACAATATATTATAGTATATGGTAAATTATACCTACACCCCTGAGGTATTTAAAATGACTTTAAGGTCCCTGTAATATTGATAATTACAGCCACACCTCTTAAACAATTACCGGAACCAAGATTTCATGTCCTGGGGACCGGTATGCACCATATATGTTTCCCGTCGGGACGTTAATGCTACTACAGACGAAAGTTTATAAATCTTATATAAAATAATAAGAATTTAAGAAATGTTGGGAGAACCACCACTGACTGAAACTAATAGTTCGTTGGAACCCTAACGGAATACCTTATCCATGCATTATTCCATTAGCTTTTAGGGGATGATTGTAATTACCGATACTACAAGGATCTTAAAGTTATTTTAGCATACCTCAGGGGTATAGGTGTAATTTACTCTCGTCTCTGTATAAAAGTTCAGCCTGGTTTATCTGAAAATTCATCTATTTAATTTGTTGTTTCAGTTGATTTTGATGAATTATTAATTATCAGGATTAGTTTGTCGGAATCAGAATGGAAAACCCAGAAGAGAAAGGCCACCATTCCGACACGGCGGAGTTAGACGGCGGCGGAAAAAACAGTACTGCCCATTTCAGCCTCCCTGAAACCAAAACCGCCGCGGCAGATGACTCTGTGGTGGATATCACCCTCGACGTGCGGGAAGACTCGGTGGCGGTGCAAAGCGTGAAGACGGTCGCCGCCGCCGCCGCTGCCGCCGGCGAGGTGCAGGACTCTGAGTTGAATATTCTTCCCGCCAAAGGCATGGAAAAGAAGTCTTCATCTTCCGGATCATCTTTCGCCAGAAACGCTTCGTCGACAATTAGGCAGGTGTCGCTAGGGATGAAGCGTTTGGCCTCCGTCACGCGCCGCCGTCAGCCGTCGAGGAGACTCCATCGGACTGAATCCGCCGCCACCCACGCACTCAATGGACTCAAGTTCATCAACAAGACTGGTGGTGGTGGTGGCGGCGCCGCCGCCGCCGCCTGGGCCGGGGTGGAGCAGCGGTTCAAAAAGATTACCTCCACCACCAATGGGTTGCTACCTCGTTCGCACTTTGGTGAATGCATTGGTAATTTCTAAAATATAGTAATTTATTTGCATGATAAATAATTAATTAAGTAATTAAATCTCTACACATTCTTTTTTCTTTACACCCTTTAATAATTTAATTCATTAAATTGAATTTTTTTCTTCTTCTTTTAATTGAAAAGAAAATTCACAGCCAATCGAAGTCCACTGAATAAACTTCACCCTCGTACAATAGTTTGCAAATGGTTCTAGAATTGATATCTTGTGTTTATATTTATAATGTGGTGTGTGTGCGCGCGCTAGGTATGAATGAGGAGTCAAAGGAATTTGCCGGAGAGCTCTTCGACACGCTTGCGCGGAGGAGGCATATCGTCGGGGACTCGATCACCAACGTACAATTGAAAGAGTTTTGGGACGAGATTAATGATCAAAGTTTCGATTCTCGACTTCAAACTTTCTTTGACATGTAAGAATAATCTAATGTAATTAAAGAACATTTCATATATATTATATACACGTACACACATCAAGTGTATATGTAACTTATTCCAAATTTAAGGTACATGATGAAAATTATATTTATAAATATACACAATTAGTGGGGTTTTTTTTTCTTTGTTAAATTAATACAATATGAATTAATGATGTTTTTTTCCTAATTAAATAAATTCTTAAAATGTAGGGTTGATAAAGATGCCGATGGAAGAATCACCGAGGATGAAGTCAGAGAGGTATAGTACTATACCTTTTCTATACTGATTTATTTTATTTATTTAATTATATTTCTTGAATTTTTAATTGTTAATTCAACAATGATTAATATTTAAATTAAATACTGTCTTTTGCAGATAATTACTTTGAGTGCTTGTGCAAATAAGCTAACTAATATCCAAAACCAGGCTGATGAATATGCTAGACTAATCATGGAAGAATTAGACCCCAATAATATTGGCTACATTATGGTAAGTAATTAATTAAATTCCAAAACAAATTAATTAAATATCTAATTATAAATATTAATATAAAGGCAAATTAATTAAACAGATAGAAAATTTGGAGACGCTTCTACTACAAGGCCCGGGAAAATCGAGTTTAGCCTCCGCGTCGACCCGAAACCTGAGCAAAATGCTGAGCGAAAAGCTAAAGGTGACAAAAGAACACCCTCTCAAAATGTGGTGTAGAGATAATTTTCACTATTTTTTGATCGATAATTGGAAGAGGGTTTGGGTTATGGGTATGTGGATTGGAGTTATGGGTGCACTTTTCGGTTACAAGTACGTCGAGTACAAAAGGAAAGAGGACGTTTTCGAGGTCATGGGGCATTGCGTGTGCATGGCTAAGGGTGCCGCCGAGACTTTGAAGCTCAACATGGCGTTGATTTTGCTGCCGGTGTGCCGGAACACCATCACGTGGCTGAGGAACAAGACTAGATTGGGAGTCGCGGTGCCGTTTGACGACAATCTTAATTTCCACAAAGTAAGTTTGAACCATTTTATTTTTCTTGTTTTCTTTTTCTTGTCTTGGTTTGGATCGAACTTTTGAATTTTTCGCTGATTCTGATTTGAAGATCTTAGACTTTGGAATTTTTTTTTTAAAAAACCTAACGCAATGTTTGGTAGCGTTTTTATTTTGTTTTCATTGACTCCCCAAAACAAAATTATATTTATTACACTTCTCAAATAATTTTCTCAAAACAATCTCAAAAGTTTCTCTCTCCTTCAGACATGATGTGACTGCTACAGTAAAATGATTTGACTGCTACATTAACAAATGTCTTCACTAAAAAACAAATAAATATCACTTCATCTTTCAATTTTTTTCTTCTAAAATACATTTTTCTAACATTTTTAAATATGATGCGACTGCTACAGTGTATTTTGTCTCCTTCAAAACTATAAACAAACATTACTTTCATTCTCAAATTATTCCCCCAAAACACATTTCCTCATAATAAAATCAAAATAAGTTTCAAAACGCTTCCAAACATAGATATTTTGGGTTTTCGATCTGATTTTAATTTTCCAAGAATTATGAAATTAAGAGAATGTAATTTTGGTATTAGTGCCAACTATATAATATCGATATTGTAGTTTTTAGTTTTTACTATAGGGGTGAAAATTATAACATAATTTTTCGAATTCCGCCAATCCCTATCCTAATTTTCCAGGTTTGAACTTGTTTATATTTTTTTAAGATATTCATTTTTACTATTTTTTTTCAAATAATTTTGAGTTGGAACAAAGAGTTCGATTTTAGATTATTTTCAAATAATTTTGAGATAGCATTAAAATTAATTTTTCAGTTTCGAATAAAATCAACTTTTTTTTATTGAAACGAAAAAAAAAAAAACAATTCTAATTCGATCAGTCTGATTTCCACCTCTAATTCCAACATATATATTGGTTTGTCTTTAAATTAAGAATATTCCCCAATGTGCAATCTAATACTTAGCTTTGTAGCATGTGAACATGTGAAATCCTCCTTGTTCCAACACAATCAATCCAAGAACCTATCTAACTTATTTATTTTTATTTATTTATTTTAATTATCCTAGGTGATAGCAATAGCAATTGCAATAGGTGTTGGAATACATGGAATAAGCCACCTAAGTTGCGATTTCCCGCGGCTACTAAACGCAAGCCCGGAAAAATACGAGCCGTTGGAGCCGTATTTCGGAGAGAATCAGCCGACAAGCTACGGTCAATTCGTGAAGGGATGGGAAGGTGTGACAGGGATTTTAATGGTGATTCTAATGGCAATATCATTCACACTTGCATCTCCATGGTTCAGGAGAAACAGAGTAAAATTACCCAAACCACTGAATAAAATCACAGGGTTCAATGCATTTTGGTACTCACACCACTTGTTCATCATTGTCTATACTCTCCTCATTATTCATGGGATCAAACTTTATTTGACTCACCAATGGTACAAGAAAACAGTGAGTTGTCCAATTTAAATTTAAATTAAAATTTGCCTATAAGCAAATTTTATTTTGATTTTCTCTTTTTTTTTTGTTTTTTTTAATTTGATAAATATTAATGGATTTTACTAGACTTGGATGTATCTAGCAGTTCCTGTGGCACTCTATGGTGGTGAAAGGTTGTTCAAGGCATTCAGGTCAAGAGTCAAGGCCGTTAAAATTCTTAAGGTAATTATATTTTACTTCCTCCGTTTCTAAATGTGTGTCGTTTTTCACCTTGGCACTAGTCATACGAATCTCAATAAATATATTTTGATTTTAGAAAAATAGATATAGAAAGACCAAAATACCCTTGTTTACTAATTAATGCATAAAAAGTGTTGGAGAGTTAATAGGGGTGTAATTGAAAATATGTAATTAATGCAGAATTTGAATTGTAAAGTGACAGATAATATGGAATAAAATAAAATTCTTAATCATATATTGTGGATCAGAGAGAGTACTTTATTTTCTCAAATCTCTATTAATTTATAGAAATATATTAAAAAAATGTTCATATATTGAATTAACGGCCCTTGTCATAAATTTTTAATGTATTTAGCCCCCTGACTTAAAATTCGAGCTCTGCTAATGTAAGCGACTAAACTACTTTTTCTTTTCCATTAACTGTATTTCCACTAAACTCTTAATTAAGACATAACTGAGAAATATTAGAATAAATGCATTATTGAAATTCTAAAGTAACAGTAATTTAAAACCAAAAAAGAAAAAAAAAAGATCACTAAAAAACCACGATTATTTTTATTTATGTTTCGTTTTTTCGTGTAAAAGTTATCGATTAGTATTAACGAGCATGAGTTGTTTGGGAATGAAGGTGGCTGTGTTCCCTGGGAATGTGCTATCACTGCACATGTCTAAGCCTCATGGATTCGAATACAAAAGTGGACAGTACATTTTTGTCAATTGCGCAGCTGTTTCTCCATTTGAATGGTAGGTCACAATTCACATCCACTTTATATATTTAAATTAAAAAAAAAAAGATAATTCTAATAAAATATTTATTGAGAAATTAAATATATATTGAGAAAAATTAATAAGGTTTTAATGCAGGCACCCTTTCTCTATTACATCGGCACCTAGTGATGGTTATGTGAGTGTTCACATTAGAACCCTCGGTGATTGGACAAAGCAACTTAAAACTACTTTCACCAAGGTAAATAATCTCGTAAATTATACTCAATTTGTTTCAAAATAATTGTTTTTTAAGGTTTAGAAATATTGTATTAAGAAAAAAAAATGTTACTGATAATTTTGATCAATATGTGTGTGTATATATATGTATTAAACTTATATGGTTGATTGTGAGTTCATTCGCTAAAATTGTGTATTATATATATTGGGTAAATTACAAAAAAATCCATTTTGTTTGGGTAATTAAAACCACTCATGACTATGAATTTTCTTATACGTTCATCCTAACGGTGTTAAATTTAGTGGAATCGTCTAGATTATGTGGAATAGTTTTTAGTTTGTATCCGTTTTACCTCATTCGAGCTCCACATATTGAAATAAAATGATCATAAGATGTGTCTCTTGGCTTGTAAAAATCAAATTGTGGTGCATCAGAAACCGCAGTTTTGCACAAAACGAGTGCAGACTAGAGAACATTTCACAAAATTTAGAAAATTATGTTGAATTTGACACCATAAAAGTAGACGTATAAGAAGACGCATAGTTAAGGGCATAATTGTAATTACCCAGATAAAAAAGTATTTTTGTAATTTGACGTTATCACAGGGATTGGCAGTAAATTACCGTATATATCTGATATATACGGTGTTTGTCTTATTTTGTTGTATTGTTAGATGTAACTCAACAAAAAAAATATATAACTCTTCTTGTTTTCATTGATGTGCCAAGATTCATTGAGCTATATTTTCCTTCTTTTTATTTTTTATTTGTTTATTTTAATTATTATTATTATTTTATTTTTATTGTTTTGGAAACATCGTAGGTAACTTATTGTCAAATGTTTTTTTGTTGATGGTTAGGTTTGTCAGCCGTCACCGACCGGAAAAAGTGGGATCCGTAGTGTTGACTACTTGGAAGGAGAAGACAATCACAAGTATGTCCTTTTATTTTCCATTTTCATATGAATGCAAAGAAAATGAATGCTTCTTCCTAAACTCAGTTTAATCAATATCTAATCAGTTATATAACGATTTTAAATTCGCACTCTATTATTATACATGACGTTTGAAATTGAAATGGACTTTTTGAATTTTTTGCCGCCTTTCATTTCAAAATTTATGATCTTGGAAAAGTGTTTTCAATCCGAATTCTAAAATTTTTAATTTACGATCTTCCTGGATCAAAGTTGAAATATATATGAGATTCCGGTTTCGGTCGTATTTCAATTTTCGAAATAGTTCCAAAAGTTCCAATCTTTTACCCAAAAATTACACGTTTAATAGCACATTATCATGTATTTTTTATTACACATAAACAAAATAAGATGGAATCTCCTATTTCCATTAATTTCCGGTCCAAAAAAATTCCGATTTCCAATTCTTCATGAACAGATTGTTTTTCACGTCTGATAAACTTGAGTTTTTCTCGAAAGCATTAATTTCAATCCGATATGTTTAGGTCTAACTATTTATATTTATATCCTCCTCAGCTTCGAAGTGTCAACTCAAACCCCTATCACTCGATGTTTGATTCTAGCCAATGTACTTAATCATTTCTACTATCTAGTCGTTGATCCATTCGAGACGATACCAACAAACGAACAAAATTAGTAAAAAAAAAATAATTACACTATTTATAACAAAATACAAATTACGATATTTCTGATGTATCACACAGCTGTCCTAAGGTGTTGATCGATGGTCCATACGGAGCACCGACACAAGACTACAAGGACTACGACGTGGTCCTACTCGTAGGTCTGGGCATAGGCGCCACGCCCATGATCAGCGTGGTCAAGGACATAGTCAACAACATGAAGGCGTTGGACGAAGCTGGTGAAAACGAAAACGCCGCTTTAGAGGGCGGGACCCACAAACGGAAAAAAACAGTGTCAAATTCACCGAGCGATAAGCAAGACTTCAAAACAAGGAGGGCGTACTTCTATTGGGTGACGAGAGAACAAGGCTCGTTCGATTGGTTCAAGGGTGTGATGAACGAGGTGGCGGAAATGGACCACAAGGGAGTGATTGAAATGCACAACTATTGCACTAGTGTGTATGAGGAAGGGGATGCTCGTTCTGCGCTGATTGCTATGCTTCAGTCGATTAACCATGCCAAGAACGGAGTGGATGTTGTCTCCGGGACTAGGGTTAAGTCTCACTTTGCTAAGCCTAATTGGAGGGAGGTCTACAAAAGTATTGCGGTTAATCATCCTAATGCAAGAGTTGGTATGTTTTTTCTCTAAAATCACATACGTTACGTATTGTTCTGCATGAAATCATTTTTATTACGATTCGTTTTACTTAACAATCGTCAATTTAATGTTTATACACATTTTGCAGGAGTGTTCTACTGTGGGGCACCGCCACCAGTGAGAGAGCTAAGACAACTAGCTTCTGATTTTTCTCACAAGACCACCACTAAATTTGAGTTCCACAAAGAAAACTTTTGACCTACAGCCAAGATTACAACTCGATTTTATTTGGGTAAAATATATAGATAGTTAAAGGTATTTTTTGTTATTTTTTATTTTCCTAGAGTGACCTCACAAAAGATCATGCTCGAATCAGCATAGATTATTTGTCGGGTCGAATTTGATTTGATTGTGGTGGTGAAGCAATGGGATTTGGGAATAATTTTCCCCAACCACCTGCAAATGTATGTATGTATACGTACTATTATATTTGCTCTCTTCTCTTTGTCTCTAATGATGAGTTTCACAATTCATATTCGTTTTTTTGTTTTTTTTTTCCCTTATGCGCTGGCTAGTAAAAATAATGCAAACCAAACTAACCTCATAAAGTTGATCTATCTCGGCCGTTTGATCCTCTGGAAATTGGGCTTGATCGGCTGGCTCAATATCAGCCGTTGATCTGCAGCAGTATCGTTGGGCCTATAGGCTATCAGGGGCTTCTTCACCGGGCCCCGCACATCACCAGAAACAGCACTGCTCGAAATTGCAGGTGAAACAGCTTTTCTTTTCAGCTTCCACGGGAGTTCGAGCCTCTCGAGTATTCTAGAAGTTTTCTCATCCATTTGCTTGTTGCTTTGTGACGGTGATGTAACGAGTTTATCGAGATTTGAATTGTAAATGCACGTTGGGGAATTTACCCCTCCGAGTTCGTTAACAATGAGCTGTTCCCATTCTTCCGCGAGACATGGGGAAGTTTTGTTTTTTTCTCCTTGTTTGGAATCGAGTTGTGGTAGTTCATCTACTTTGATAACTATGTCTTCTGCCTCCTGCATTGATGGTTGTACCTCGGAGTTTTGTAGGTACACTTCTGACTCTGGGATTACTTCTTTTGTTTTAGGAAGTATTGCCCTGTAACGATCAGAATAGATAGTCATGTTCGGCATGCTGATGAAGTTCAAATGATAATATTGTTTGAGTTCAAGTTCTTAGAAAAATCAGCAGCAAGCAAATTTGTTTCGCTGAACGTTTTTTTACATGATAATAAAAATAATAAAGTACGAGAGTAGAGAAGATGATTTACCCGAATTGCAGGCTCTGTTTAACAAGCACGTTCAGTTTTTTATGGAAACCTCTCTCGTGCTGGAATGGATTGTAGTCGCTTACTTCCATCTGGAAATGGCAGTTTGCACTTAATTATTATCGTGACATCGACGAAAAATATATTGTTCGCTAAACGATGATGAATTTCACTTAGCATCTTCGGACCATTGAGACAAACAAGGGTGACTGTCAAACAATAATTAATACTGCCTCGAAAACGGATCTACTTAATTGGATAATCACCAGACTTGAGATTCAGAGAATTCAGTAAGGGTTTTTTTTTTCAATTAAAAAATGTCCGTTTTATTTTAATTTGGATCATCGTGAAGTTGAAATTACATTCCAGTCAAATTAGCTTTCAGATCGATGCATATGTTAGAGGAGTAATCCAAAAGAACAAAGAAACTGTAGGAATTCAACCTTTAGCAAAGAGGCTTGAACTGTGTTTTCGATCTCTTCAGCTACAACAGAGCTAATGTGTTGGCTGGCGTCAAAGATAGGCAAGAACTCTTCTGATGCTGAAAGCCTCTGCAGATTTACACATGGCAAATATTTTTATAAGTAGAAAGAAAAGGAAAAAAAAACCCGATTCAAATTTTCTCAGATTAAAAGATGTTGAAAGTTCAGAAACAACAGTCATGTTACAAAGTGGTATCTGAAATATAAATATCAACCATGATTCCTTTATCAACTTATCAAACATTCCCTTGGTGATTAACTATGGTAATAAGCAGTTCAAACTTCGTTGGAGTCTTGAAGATCGTTTCTTAATTCAGGGGTCCAAAATTTGGAACACGAATATAAGTAAAAGATGTTTCGAAAAGGTGAACTTTTTAATCATGACTTTAAAGGGCTCAAAGTAAATTCGAGGTCTGCATTTAAAGACACGCACACACGGAGAAGAGTAGAGGGTGTGAGAAAAGCAGAAAAGCAATTACCCTGAGAAGCATCGTCCCTTTGTCCGAAGGTAAGAGAATGTAATAGCACTGGAATGAAGTCTCCCTCTGAGTTTCGATATTACAAGTAGAAGAGCAAACCAGACCCTGATCATGGGAATTTAGAACAGTGCATACCACTTGAAAAACTGCAAATCGAAATATAATTGAAGGGTTAAATGTAAATCAGTGTCAAGTTCATGAGGAATAGTCAAAACTATCAGTATGCATAAATCTACACAAGATTTACAGAGCTTTCCACACACGTTGACTGTTTAGCTCCGTTTCCGAACTCTTGTTCCTATCTGGATCCAGAAAAGTTGATGCAGTGACAAAGTAGGTCGTTCCCATAATCACCCCTGTCCAGAGCAATGAAACAGAAGTAAGAAATGGAAAGCGTAATATGCAGTATTTTTTGCTAGCTACTACTATCGAACACTAAATGCCGGTGAGGCTGCATTTATTTAAATTTTCAAAAATCATGCATATGAGCCATTTTCACATCAGAAACCTGCAGTCTATATGCAGCTAATGGAGATATAAAATCTACATATAGAGGAGCCTCTTCAACTTCATTGCATGCAAACCAAATTTCACCCAGTAGTCCCATTGAAGCATTGCCAGAAACAACAAGAAAAACATAAATTCAACTTGTCTGAAAATAAACTTAAACCAGTGGAGCCTTGCTAAACTTATCTTGATTTACTGTTAGGAAAGATGCATTAGAACAAAACAACTTAACTTTCAGACATGCAAGCAAATAAATGCTGCCTCTTAGTACAGATCACGTTTGCCATGAGGCTTAGTAAAATTGGAGCTCAAGATGATATCCATGAAAGCATGATCAGCAAGTTTCACATATTACAGAGTAGATAACTTAGTTGATCTAATCCTTAACGAGTGGATTAGGAAATGAGAACTTTAAAGCACAAAGGTAAAATCCTGTAAAAACAAAAGATGCCCCTTATGTCAGAGATATACCTTCACTTAATGATCCTAAGTTGGTCCTCTTAATGACATTGAAGTCAACAGGTAATGAAACTTGCTTCAGTTCAGGACTGTCCTTGAAAGAGGGCATATGTAGCATCGTTTGTTCGCCAACCCTAACAGAGTTCTCAATTATATCTATAGCTCCAAGATCATCATTGGTTACTGGACAAGAAGACCTCTTAGTCTGGCTCGTATTTGACTGGTCCAATGGAATGCCGTGACATCTGCATGTCTGTTTAATATAAAAGATAACTGTGATGATACTGATTTCATGTTCAGAGTTAAAGCACAGCCACTGGAAAACAGCAAACAGATGGAAGGTAAAATAATCGTTCTTCGTCAACAGAAGAATACATCAATCTCGAACATGAATCAATTTACCAGTAGTACACATCAAAAACATTAAGGATAACTAATCTTCTTTTCCAGGGCGTGGAACGAGCAAGGCAAATAAAATGTTCAAAAACTGTCGAATTACACAATTTGTATTCCAAGTTTTTCAGAATTTAGGAATCAGATTAGTAGCACTTTAAGCCAGTTCAACTTCCTTAAGCAGATGGTTGCTGTGATATGACTGGACAGAAATTAGATTTTGAACATTTGTTACAACATAATACCTAGGGATGGCAATGGGGCGGGTATGGGGCGGGTTTTGCAATCCCCATCCCCGCCCCGCAATGGAAATCCCCATCCCCATCCCCATCAAAAATCCCCACGGGTATTAAAAGAACCCCCATACCCGCCCCATAAAATCCCCACGGGTATCGGGGCGGGTAAAAATCCCCGTCTATTTTTTTTCTTTTTTTTTTAATAAATAAATATGCACTTTACTTATAATTTAAAGGTTTATTTCAACAAATAAATCATTATTTTATTATAATACTAATATTTAATTATATAATGGAAACCTAAAAATCCCCATTTTTAACTAATATTAAATATATTACTACTATTTAATTATTTATATTTAATATTATAATTAAAAAATATATATTATATATATAAATAATGCGGGGCGGGTACGGGGACGGGTACGGGGCGGGTCTACGGGGCGGGTATAGGCAAACCCATCCCCGTACCCGTACCCGGTCAAAAAAAAATTTCAATCCCCATACCCGCCCCATTTTTTTTCGGGGCGGGTAATACCCGAAAATTTCGGGGCGGGGCGGGGCGGGGCGGGGATCCGTCGGGGCGGGTCAAATTGCCATCCCTATTAATACCAGCACATACGGCATACCATAGCCTTATAGTTCAGAGCATATTTTTTTATTGTTAAGAAATTGAGGTAAAGAAGAAGCAGTTGAAGTCATTTTAAGAATATGTTAAGACGAAATGTACAGAAATACCCAAATAGATAGCTGTGTATATACATATATGTGTAAGTGTACAATTAACTGACAGTTGAGAATATGTATGCTATGCTGGGATGGTGTACACAATTCAAGGATCCTCAGACAATGTACCAATATCACATACTTCGTCTAAATGATTATACCTGACAAGAAATGAACTCGTCAACTATGGGATTGAAGGATGTGCACAAGTTGCAGGTTATCTGGTTCAGGTTGCTTATCAAACTGGTCTTGAATATGAAACGAGCTTGTAATGGTTCTTTCCTGTCATCCTTTAAATCCTCAAACCATCTTTTGGTGAGACATTGCAGTACGTGTTTATCTGAAAAAGTAATTTTGGTTAAAATCCTAAATGAGGGGGGGGAAACAAAAAACGAAAAAAAAAAGGAAAACTCACACCACCAATCCATTTTTTTGGAAAGTAATATTATCTGTAAATATTCACATTTCGCCTCTCGCGAAACACAAAAAGTACACTTGCCCATCTAATTCTAGATGAATCAAATTTTACTTTTCAATGATGGAAAGGTTACACAAACAACCTACCAGACCTTGGACATTGCCAATATATGACAGGTGAACGACAAATTGACCGTTTTATCCTCTCCATATGAAATTATCGATGTTTTTCAAGCAATCAGTAATTTATGATGCGCTTGATGAGCGTGAAATATTATAAACTCGACAAAAATTGCACCCTGATCAAATATCTGGTGCAACATCAAAACAACAATTACGGCATTCTGATTGCAGGAAATTTAGCTTAATGGAATGACTTTGATATTTTCCTTTACCTATAAAAACTCAGTTTTCGTCAGTAATACTGTTAATACTTTATAATCTGACATTTAATAAAATTTCATCATCCATACATTGGAGTAATAGCGTACCAACAAGCGAGAAGAGAATATTTTTTGGTCAAAAAAGCAAGATTTGCATCTTTGTCACAACAAGTTCAAACCGTACAGTAATATATAATGATTATGCTTAACCTGGAACACGTGTCTGAAAAGAGCAGTTTTTACAAAAACCAATCTGCTCCACGAAATGGCTGATATCGTCAGTGATATCACCAAGCTGGCTTGATGCTTGCTCCAACAAAATAAATTCCACTGAAACACACTTGTCGCTCGCATCCTGTCAAGAACCTCACCAAAACCTTTGTAGTCTACAATTATGAAAAACGATCACTAAGGTTGGTACAACAGACTGTGGAAGATCGTCTCACCATGAGAGCCTTCATTGTTGCAGAATCCAGGGTACCAACAAGATAAGAACTAATCAGAATCACTTTTTTTCCTATGTTTCTATCACGATTTCCCCAAGAGTATACATTTTTTTCACTCAGAACATCCGTCAGTTTCAGGTCTGCATGAATCGTAAGAAAAAAACAAATTACTGCCACATAGTTTCTTATAAGTGAATGCAGCACAGAGGAGGACAAAATAGATATTACCCTTGCATAGGGCCCCGGAATCGTTGGATTCGGAAAAGAAAGCATCCGTAGGCAAACTGTTCACAGCATGATGAAAATCACGCAAATTGAAGTTTACTTGGGGACTATACGCTATCTTCAGCTGTTTACAGCAAAAGCGGCCATCTCTTACCAGTCAATTTAATCTTTGATCCAAAAAAAAGGATAAGAAACATCGACTCTCATGGACAGAAATTAGACAGAATAAGAACAGATAGCAGTGCATTACGCATTTCAACTTTTTCACACAAATAACTCCACATTGCATACACATACATTGTCACATGGTGCACGGCACGTGCAAAGAAGCTTGAGACAATCCAAAAGATGAACAAAACACATAGAAAAAAGCAGAAAGTGTGACAATAATATGGTGTGCTACATAAGAAAAACTGGTTTATTTCCATGTAGTGCAAATTTGATGGCCCCAATTCTCGATCAAGCCATTCAAAAACAAAATTCTTAGATTAAAAAAAAAAAAAGCACACTGCATCTGCCACAACCTCTCGACGTTAATTCTCGTTTCACTCAAAAGAAAAAGAAAAAGAAAAATAAAAACTGGTGTATATGTCACTTGCAGTTAATAATCATAATAAGTGAGGTGAATTTTAAAAGTGCATATAATTGGTAAGGAAGAGATACCTCATCGGAACAAGAAATTCGATTCCTCAGAACATAACAAAGTCCAATGCGATCGAGCAGTGTTTTCGACTGCGATTGAATTCCTCTAGAACTATTATCAATTTTCGGACACGAAACTGCATAATAATTAGCAAGCTGCAACAGTGACTGGTACAGTACAAAAGTTTTTTTTTAGTGAAAATCGAATATAATCAAAATTTGATTTCCGAAATAATTTCTGCACAATCTGAAATTCGATAGAAACATCAAAATCGAGAGAATCATTAACACGTATATGTAATATATATAAGCGTCGATTGATTTCTGTATATACCTGCTTCAGATCTCGAAGAATTGGAGGTGATAAGCTCCGCAAATCCAACACGAAGCAAAGCAATACCATACTTCAGTTTCTTCTCACTCTACTTTTGGGGTTTATGAAATTTCTTCGTCACTGAGAAAATGCTAGATTGGGCTTTTGTCCGCTTTATATATGATACATTTGGCGCCTAAATATGTAGCCCAAAGTGATGCATCATTTGCTAATTGCTAAGTTAGGTTTTAGCATTCCCACCCCTGTGTAATTTATACTTGTCAAAAAAACCCTGTCAAATTAATTGGCAAACACTCCACTATGAAAATCAGTCAAAGTCAATATGGCCCGTACAAACTAATCATGCAAACTGCAATACACTCGCAATATATGCGACTGAGGTATTTTTTGATCTGAAAAGACCAAATATTCTTTACATTCGAAAAGTCGAAAATTACCGATTCACCATAGATTTTTATAAGCCCTTTTTAGAAAATTTTAATTAATTCGATCCCTGGTATGTTTTTCCCCAATTTATATATAGTTCAACATACGAATTTTTCTTTTAAACCCTTTTCTCTAATGATAATGAAAATATTGGTTAAAAATAATAATGTTTTCAAATTTGTTAATGATTTAACAATGTATATTGTTGGGAGAAAAATAGATTTGATCTTTAAAAACGAATTAAGAGACTTAAAAAACTCAATATGTATAAATATTTTATGAAATCATAATTAGATATAAACTATGTAACACGGACACAGAAACATGGACATTGCAAAACGAGGAAACGAAAACAGAGAAACCACATTTCCCAAAAAGTTTGATTGAGAAACACGAGGAAACGTGTAAATATTAAAAATATAGGGATACATTCATAAGTATTTTTTTCTTTTTCTTTTTTAAATATTATAACGTTTAACTTATATACTTATCGCCAATTATATATTTGTAAGTACGAATTATATATAATTTACAATTTACACTCAGAATTATCATTCCACAAATTACATTAGGAGTACATAAATTTATTTTAGTATTGAATTAACATTAAAAAAATATTAAAACACCACTAGAACGAAAATAAAGACATAAGTTTTAAGACTTTTGTAAGCGTAAACAATTCTGAGTCCTTATTTAAAACGGATTTTTGATTTGTTTTGGATAGAAACGCATCTCCAACTTTTTATTATTACTTGATAAATCCTCAAAACTTTTAAATATTTATAGAAATAGCCCCAAAATATTTTCGGCAGATGTTATGCCGTTTTCGGTTTCCGAAGCATGAAAACGCGTGTGTCTGAAATTTCCGTACATCATACATAAACTATACACACTCATAAATCATAATCATGCTAGTTAATATACACACAAAAACACATAACACACAGAAATGGACACAAATACACACTATGCACACACATACAAACACAATGAACATTCTCCACCACCCTACTCCCCAAACAATTCCACAACATTAACCCCATCCAAATCTCTTCTTGAAAGAGACTTCAATTTCTCCACCACCCCTAAACCGCCACCGCCACCGCCCGCAAACATAGCACCGGAAATCCGGACAAGCCCCGGATTCTGGCTATTCATCACCGAGTAAAATGTGGCACCCTCAAATCCGCCGTTAAAGCAGTAATGCAGAAGCCCCTTCGGAAACACGAACACATCGCCTTCCCCCATCCGCTTCTGGAACACCCGGTTATTCGAGTCCACGAATCCGGCAACCACCACGCCGCTCCGGACGAAGATTATCTCACTCGCCCTCGGGTGCGCGTGCGGCGCCACGTTGCCGTCGGCCTCCATGTCGGTCCGGGATGCCGACAGGCCGAGCGCGTTCAGCCCCGGGAACTCCGCTGCCGTGGCGATCGTGGTGGACGAGCGGTAGAAGTTGTCGGTGTCGCCGGACTCACTCAGCAGCGAGGATTTGAAGTCGGAGGATGTTACGTTTACCGGATTCTTGCATGGGAGGCCGTTGATGAAGATCTTTTGTTGTTGGGCGGCGTCCGTCGGGCAGAAGTCGTGGATGCTGTCGCCGTCGCCGGCGAAGCCGAGTGCGGCGAGGGTCGAGAAAAATGTTAGGAAGGACAAGGGGGTAATGCTCTGTTTGTTGATTCTCATCGTTTTTTTTTTCTTTTGTTTTTTTTTTTAAATTTAATTTATATGATAAAGTGTTTATTAGCAAATTTTGAATGTGGGGGAATTATATGTATTAAGAGTTTATTTTGCAACTTGTGGAAGTAAAATATTCTTTAAGATTGGAGTTTACTTCACTTTAGTGTTGTTTTCAAGAGGTTGCTAGCTTATGCAGTAAAAAGTACAATTTGTTGGAATTATTTCAATAATTATGTGGGCTCACATATGTGAAGTAAATGTGTATGGCTATCTAAAAGAAAGTCCAAATTAATTGTGATCTAATAAAGATTATTGGGTTGGACTTATGGGTATTAGACTATAATTATGGGCCTAATGTGTAGAGACAATTAGGGCTTAATTGTGATTTATTGATGGGGCTGAATCACAATTATAAAATAACTGGACTCTACAGTTATATAAAGGGTCGTGGTCCCCAAAGAAACGCAACCATTCCGTCTCTTCTAAAATCCATCGTTAGAGAGATAATTAAGGAACTGCGGATTCTTTGGAAGACCTGTCTCAAATCCAGTGGGGATTCGAAGATTCGATTCAATGATGTAAGGTACGCTTCCGTGTTTATGTTTATATTTAATTCTCGTTGATTCAAGCATGTTGGTTCTTGGGAATTCGTATACATGTACGATAAATTTCTAACACAATTTGCTTAGAAGACATTTTCGATTCGAGATTTGACGAGAAATTAGATGATACACCGAGTGACTGTTAACCACAGATCTAAACATATATGTGTATGTGTGTTTAGTGAGCGGTTATTTAACACTTAAGAATGTGTGCATACACTTATTACTATCGGCTATTATGTTGTACTCAACAGCACAATAGCGCCAAATCAACAATATAATTGTGGTGGTAAGCACATCAATATTGCCGGAAAAATAAAATACTTTTGTCGTTTTGGCCGGCAATGTTGCTTCGTTTATGTGACTGTTCCTTGGTTTTACACTTAGTTGTTTTATTTTTATTTTTTTAAATATGTTTCATATTTATATATGTATGTTAACAAGAGTGAGTAAAAAAGAGAAACGGAAGGCGCTAGATCAAACACCTCGGAGAAATCAAGCTTGGCAGCATTTTTCCGGTTTCGCATCAACTTCACTGTCTTTTCATAACGGATATTGTCTTGTACGATTTTCGATAGTTCCGGAAAATGACAACCATACCCTTCCAGCCTTCCCTAACCGTCATTACATATGCATTTAGCTCTTTGTTGAGGTCATACATCAAGCTAATCGCTCGCATTATCCATTACTATCAAAATTGGTAAATATTATTCTCATCCGTCGACCCCTTCCAATTTTTTTACATTAATGTATGCACCATTAACAATGAAAGAATGATGGTCGTTCTTTCTCACCTCAATCGTCACCACCATCTACGGCCTTTCTTTTCATTCTTCAAATCTTTTTTTTGTTCGGTTCCCTTACAGTTGCATTTTATTTGTTGGAATCGGAGCTCGAAATATTGAATTTTACATATGTAATACAAAATGACTAATTTACTACATTACTACATAATACTTAACCATGTAAGATATCGAAGAAAAATGTGTAATTATGTTTTGTTATTATAAATTATATATTATATATATTTAATGAATGATAATTTAGTACAGCAATAAAATTTAATAGGATTCATGGACTTTTTGGATGTATATATAAGAATTTTAAATCGTAATTTCCTTTGTATCTTGCCCAAGTAAATAATTATTTCAAATTTTATGCATAATCAACAACCACTTAGACCAATGATAGCGTGTATATAACTTTGATATCGAATATTTTCACAAAGTTGATATGGCCGAGTTGGTCTAAGGCGCCAGATTAAGGTTCTGGTCCGAAAGGGCGTGGGTTCGAATCCCACTGTCAACATTTCTATTTTTTTTTCCGTTTTGGCCTGAAAAAGTCTTAATTCCAGTTTGCATCCTTGACATATAGTATTTTGGCATTTTGCCCCCTGAAAACAATTAATAGCACATAGACCCTCGAAACACAATAAATCACTAATAATGCACCCTCAATTGAATAGGCCTGAAAAATGCTTAGTTCCAGTTTGCACCCTTGACATATAGTATTTTGGCATTTTGCCCCTTGAAAAATATTAATAGCACATAGACCCTTGAAACACAACAAATCACTAACAATGCACCCTCAATTATACATGGTTTAGTTCCACTTTGAACTCTTGAAATATTAAATGGTTGTTTTCTTCTATCTCGATGCTAATTTCGCGTGTGAAAAGTGCGGGAATAAAAAATCACAAATAATCAGTGAAAATATTTGGTAGAAATCAATGGAATGAAATATAATTTTAAAATAAGTTGATAAAAAAATAGTTGAAGGTTTTCTTGTTCTTTTTTTTAATTGTAAAAATATAATTTTGTGATAAAAATTATAATTTTTAAATACGTTAATGAGATGTACTTTTTTATTTTAGCACTTTGTAGTTTCGAAATGGTCCATGAATATAAATTTTTAATTTGACATTTGACATCCTAAAAATATATTAAAAATATTTAATTATTTTCATTAGTTTTAAAAATTCATTTGGACTGCATTATGCATAATTTATTGTATTTCGAGGGTAAAAATGCAATTAATCTTTTTTTAAATTATAAAGTGCCAAAGCACTACATTTCAAGGGTGCAAAGTGCGAGTGCGAGTAAGCCAATAGAAAAATATATCGAACATAAAAGAACTTTCAAAAGTTGTTTTTTCACTTGTATTTTTTTATGAACTTTCAAAAGTTGTTTTTTCACTTGTATTTTTTTCTGAGTGGATATATCACATATCCATTTATCGTAGTTGTACATTATTATAGCTATTATACTTGGATTTATTAAAAAAAACATTAGCAAAGTACTACTATTTAAAATTGCATTTGAAAATGTTGAGTCAATTGATTTCAATTAGTTATCTCTCTATTTTTCTCTATATGCCCTCACTCTTTACTCAACTGATTTTACGATTGACTCAACTATTTCAAGTTAATTGGGTCGAGTAACTGACACTTTTTTTTTTTTTTAGAAAATGAAGAATTTTATTAGGCTATAGAAGCCAAACTCGAAATGAGGCCAGAGCCTTCCATACTCGCATAGTTTGTGGAGTAAGTTAATGCATGAGCGAGGCGATTGCCTTATCTCTTAACAAAAGAAAAGGAACAATGAACAAAAGATCTAGACAAAATAAAACAATCCTCAATGAAGGCGCCGAACGGTAAAGAAGATGAGTTGCCCCGTTGAATAATCACAGAATTCCAGCCATTGGAAACCGCTTTAGATAACGCTTGTTGAGCCGCGCGAGCTTCTCCATCCTTCACCGTTGGCCTACCATGTATCCTCTCCACACCCCACCCTAGCCACTCGCCTCGCCAGTTCCTCGCTACAAATGCCGTCATAAAGAAATCTTGCCCATGCGGAAATGCCGCATCAAAATTAATCTTGACAATACCTTGGGTCGGAGCTAGGGGACCACGTGGTTGAAAAAGCGCGCGTTGGAGGTTGATGAGCACTCATAATAGCCGAATTAAAGGAATGCAGAAATGCTCCACTCCAAGAAACTACCCCCTGGTTCCCATTCTGTTCATTGCCATGAAGTCGACGGTTCCGCAAATCCCATGTCTTCCAAATCACAATAGTAGCCAATAAGAACAGCCCCTGCTCAAGGTTTTCTCGAAGATAAACCAAGCAACTCCAAAACGATGGAAATGTTACCATGTTGGGCAGGTTGAAGGGCGGAGAGTTCCACACAGCTTGCATCCCATGACAAAATTGCAAAACATGCTGAGTGGTCTCACATTTGTCTGGGCAGTAGCGACAAAATGGTGATGGGCTGATTCCGCGGCGGAACAGCTCCACATTCGTCGGGAGGATGTCGGAACAAGCACGCCACAAAAAGATCCGGACTTTGGGAGGGATTGACAACTTCCAGATAAACTTCCATCTTCTGGTTGATTCCCCACTACTCGATGCAGCCCCACCGCTTTCCATTCCTCGAGAAAAAGTACGGTGAGTCAACAAGGCGTGATAGCAGGATTTCGCAGTGAATTGACCCGTGGAAGAAAAGTGCCATATGAGCTTGTCTGTTGCGAACATACCCCCAATCGGAACAGCCATGATTCTCCCTCTATCTACCGGCCAAAAGACTTCATTTATAACAACTGACTCAACTATTTCAAGTTAATTGAGTCGAGTAACTGACACTTTAGTCTCAACATTAAATCAATTTTACTTAAGTTGATTTAAATTAGTGTTTGATATAAATCAATTGAGTCAACTAATTTACAATTGAAGCAAAATCAATTAACAACTGACTCTAAAACAATTGAGTGAGGTTGAAAAATTAGATAGATCGGAGTCTGAAATATGACGTTTGAGAATACGAGGTACTACTAATAAAATTGTAATGATATTGTTGTAAAAAAATAACGTTGCAAGGGATTTTACTCAAAATAAATAATATGCCATCATTATCTTAAAGAAAATAAATTAATAAACTTTCCTTAAATTGCCCTTTTATATCTTATATCTTATATATAAAAGAAAGAAACGCTAGGGCAACCCTAAGAAACCCTAATGTCATATTTGTAATTTTTTTTTTATTATTTGGGATTTATCAAATTTATCTCCTAAATATAATTTTCGAATTTTTCAGATATATTATATCTCTTAAATATTATTTTAAATATTTTTTTCGATTTGTATCAGATTTTTATCTCCTAAATATTATTTTTGATTTTTATCAAATTTTTATCTCCTAAATATTATTTTAAATATTATTTTCGATTTTTATTAATTTTTATGTTCTAAATATTATTTTAATTATTATTTTCGAATTTTAGCAGTATCTCCTAAATTTAATTTTAAATGTTAATTTCGATTTTTAGCAGATTTTTATCTCCTAAATATTATTTTTGATTTTTATAAGATTTTATCTCCTAAATATTATTTTCGATTTTTATCAAATTTTTATCTCCTAAATATCATTTTAAATATTATTTTCTAATTTTATCAAATTTATCTCCTAAATATTATTTTCAATATAGTTTTCGAGTTTTATAAAAAAAATTATCTCCTAAATATATTTTTCGATTTTTATCAGATTTTTGTGTCACCTAAATATTATTTTCATTTTTTATCAAATTTTTATCTCCTAAATATTATTTTAAATATTATTTTCGATTTTGATCAAATTTTTATCTCCTAAATATTATTTATCTCCTAAATATTATTTTAAATAATGCTTTTTAATTTTATCAGATTTTTATCTCCTAAATATTATTTTAAATAATATTTTTGATTTTTATTAGATTTTTATCTCCTAAATATTATTTTAAATCTAATTTTCGGTTTTTATCATATTTTTATCTCATAAATATTATTTTAAATATAATTTTAGAATTTTATCAAATTTATATCTTCTAAATATTATTTTAAATATTGTTTTCGAATTTTATAAAAGAATTATCTCCTAAATATTATTTTTCAATTCTTATCAGAATTTTGTCTCCTAAACATCATTTTCGATTTCTATCATTTTTTTATCTCCTAAATATTGTTTTCGACTTTGATGAAATTTTTATCTCCTAAATATTATTTTAAATAATACTTTTTATTTTTATCATTTTTATCTCCTAAATATTATTTTAATTATTATTTTTGTATTTTATCAACTTTTATCTCATTAACATTATTTTAAATATTATTTTTGATTTTTATCAAATTTTTATCTCTTGAATATTATTTTAAATATTATTTTTGATTTTTATCTCCTAAATATTACTTTTCGATTTTTTATCAAATTTTTATCTCCTAAATATTATTTTCGATTTTCATTATATTTTTACTCCTAAATATTATTTTCGATTATTATCAGATTTTTATCTCCTAAATATTATTTTCGATTTTTATCATTTTTTTATGCTCGAACCAGCCCAATCACTCCTATTTTCAGCCATAAATATCTCTAATGACAAACCATTAAATCTCCTAAATATTATTTTATCTCCTAATTTTCAACCATAAACATCTCAACACTAAATATTATTTTTTTGATGATAAAATACTAATTATCATATTCCCAAAGATGGAAGACTCTTAACACTTTCAACTTTCAACTTCTCTCTACCACTTCAACACGTTTGTGTTTTCTCTTCTTATTTATATCCCACCTCTCAACTTCTCCACCCCAGTTTTATCTCTCCCCGTTTCTACAAAATGTTTGTGGCTTCATAAGAGGTTAGCTATTTTGCAATTTGTTATCTCTTCATAGTTCATAATAAATCTGATTTTTGATTTTTACAAAAAATGGTAAATAAATTTGATTTTCTTCCCTAGCGAATTTATTGACATCGTTCTACAGAATTTCTGCAATATTTGAATTTTATTTCTTCATCCTACCTAAGGCTTCTTCTTTTGGTAACCCGACTTTAGAATTTTTGTCTTATTTTCTTCTTCATCCTATTGACTGTATGGTAATTAGTTTGCATCTTTTCCATCATGGCTTATAGGTAATTTCGTTTTGTTAAATTATGTGTTTCGTTAATTTATACCAAAGATTTCAAATTTTGTGTATAACAATTATTTCCTTTTAGATGTTATTGGACATGTTATTGAAATGGGTGATTGGAGATAACTAAGCAAAAATGGGCGGGGTCACAAGCTATTGAAAGTCGGCCTTCAAGATTTATTGTGTGTATGCGATATTTAATTTATTGTTTATATTTATTTTTGTTTCTTAATTTTCCAATTGTTAATTCCAGTGGCAAAACAGGACCCAAGCGAGGCAGTTGAGAAGGGCTTAATTACGATGCACGATGTATAGATGGCCTTTTACGTTGGTATGTTGTCAATAATTTAATTTTGATTATGTTAACTAAGAGGGTGTTTGGCTAAGCTTAAAAGATGTTAAAAGGAGCTTATAAGATGTTTTAGAGCTTATAAGCTATTCCAAAGTGTTTGGTAAATTTTTTAAAAAAGATCTTAATTTTTTTAAAAATAAGCTGTTGGAGACCAAATAAGATCTTTTTAAATAAGTACCTCTACCCCACCTTTTTATTTAAGATCTTAGAATGAGTAAAAATAGGAAATAAGCTCATTATCCAAACACTATAAAAATTAATCCTAAAAATAAGACGTAACAGCTTATCAGCTCTAAAAACATCTTATCAGATGTAAGAGTTTATCAGCTGTTTAAAATAAGTTCAGCCAAACACCCTCTAAGTTATTATATCTAATTACTTTTAAGCTCAACATGAAAGACATAATTGATGATTTTGTTTCTGGTTCAATTTTTCAATCTACTGGTATCAGCTGATTCAATTCATTTGGAAAATTATTCAACAGTAAAGTTGTTCGTTTTTTTTTTTTTTTTTTTTGTGTGTGTGTTTGTGTGTAGTATACTTAGTAATGTTCCACCGATGAATTATTAATGAATGGTTATAACAGAATTTGGATCATACGATGCATCAAACATTTATTTATATTCTTACAACATCGAAACAATGCAATTTGTTGTCTCGTGCATCGCACGGGTACAATTACTAGTTATAAATAAAAATAAAAAATAAAAATGAGAAGTTTGAAATATTTTGGAATGGAAATGAGAAATAGTTTGAAATAGATTTTTTCCCCTCATATAAGTGTCGTTTAATAATTTTAAAGCAGAAAAATGCCTTATTATTCAACTTTACCGTAACATAAAGTGATAAATAGAACAAAGAAGACATTTGTCAAAACTCAGATTTTTTTTCAACTTTATTAAGTATTTTGTATTTTCATACTTTATCAAAAAAGTTAGCAATGTTATACTCCATTCAATCTTAAGGAAATTTCTTTAAAGTTAATAAATTTATACACCAAAGAATTATAATGAGATTAATTATAAAGATGAAGGATACAAATGAGACACGAACGATTAAAGTGAGAGGAAATATTAAAATAAGGACTATATACAGTAGAACCTCGATAAATTAATACTCGATAAATTAATAACCTCGCTTAAATAATAAATTTTCCCGGTCCCGACTCGGGGACAACATGCTAAATTAATAATTCGCTAAATTTATAAGATAATACACATTCGAAAAATTTAAGAAGCCCCATATAATATATAAATTAATAATGCATTAAAATAATTCTTAAATTACATGGTATAGTACATATTTTATAGATCTATAAAAGTTTAATACAATATAATTTAATTGTTGATTAATCTCGTCCCTCACTTTTCTTAACATGGGTAGAACTTTTGGTATTGTTTTGTCATAATCAACATAAAATCGCTATATACCATTGCTGCTTTAAGAGCTTCCGTTCGTGAAACAGGCACTATAATGCATTGAACTAATGGTACAATGAATAATACACGTAAAAAAATAAAAAGAAAATGTATTTATTAAAAATAATGATAAAAGTAATTTCATAAATTAATAATTTATTAATTAATGCATAAATTGATAATTATTAATTTATCGATAAGTTAATATTTCGCTAAATTAATGAAATTTTGATGGTCCCAACAGTATTAATTTATAGAGGTTTAATTGTAGTATTAAAATAAAGACAATTTAATAAGTTTATCTAATTCATAAAAAGAAACTATATGGTATTAAAATAATAAATATTGTCATTCATCCAAAAACCAAGGAAAGAAAGTCATAAAACATATTTCAACTTTCATTGCTATTACTTTTCAGAAGTATATTATATATATACACTAAATAATCGAGTTGCTATTTTTTTTCATAATTAAATAACAAATAAATTAATTAAAAGATATTAATTTTATTAATTGATAAAAAGAATATTTCTCATAATCACAGTTTTAGTTCTATACTAAATACAAGTCTGACAAAATAAAAAGAATACATCTAAAACTGAAAAAGCATGGCTCTGACGTGGAAAACTAACAAACCCAGGTCCACATGTCACACTCTCATTGGCCGACGAGTCCACGTTGCAGTTCATACTCGTCATTGCCACCAAAAATCCGCTGTCCATATCGGCGAACTTTACTTCATTCAAAGTGAACCAAATTGAATTTACAAAAATAAAATAATAAAATAAATAAACCTAAATACGGAAAAATTGAATGTTATTTTTGGGTAGATTTTCAGCAGATTTAAATTTGTACACACGGTGGCACTTTTCGGTAATTTTTGACAAAATTGAGGTGATTTTCGGTTACGTATTGTACCCCCTCTCCCCACCCCGGCTATATATATATATAAATATCCGTTCTTTCCATGGGCATCGATATATATTGCAAATTCTGATCCGCCGTCCAGAACAACTCTTTCCTTACGAACACCCCATTCTCAATTTCCGGTCCGAATTTAAAAAAAAAAAAATTCAATTTTGTTCAATCTATTCTCTTCGAAATCAATTGATTCAATTTTGATGAATTCATCGTAATTGATACGGAAATCCGGTCGATCTCGTCTTCTTCGTTCTCGAGCTAATCGGATTTGTTTTTTTTGCTGATTTAATAGGTATAATTTTCCAGATCTCGGTTATTTTGAAGCTGTTTGGATTGATACATTTGTTTTGTGCTCGCTGAATTGATGTTTTTTTTCTTTTTCAATTCGTTTTAGGTGTGTGTTTTTATGTGTGTGCTGATCGTTGGAGTTTGATTTTCAGATCTCTATCTTATTTTAGGTTAATTTGAATGTGTATGTGTTTGCATGTGATTATTTGTATGTGAATTTTGATTTTATGATGTTTTGTTCGTTTATCTAACCACTTGCATTATGTTTTCGTTAGATCACAGATTTTTTTTATGTCTTGTTGAGTTTGATTCATTGGAGGAGTTAATTTTCTTGTTTAATGTATCAGGGGTTCTGATTTCTGAGTGATTGGATCTTATGATTTTGCAGAACATGTGGATCTGTGATTTTTTTGCAATTTTCTGGTGTTTTTGATTTAGATATGGGTCTCGAGTTATCTAATTTAATGGTTTTCTGCATGTGGTGATGATTCAAAGTAATAGATGAATCTCCTTGCTTATTTCATGGTTGTTATTATTCGTTGAAGATACCGTTTTTACAATGATATAAAAAGATGCGGATTTATGGAATTTGTATTAGATGTAGTTTAAAATCAAGATTTGATCTTTTTTGCCACGTTGTTGACCAACGGTAAAATTGAATGTCTGTAGAAGTTCGTGAATTTAGATTGTTTGTCGTGTATCGACGTAGATGGTTAAAGCAATTAAAGCTGGCATTGATTGCATGTTTCTGTACTTATTGTGGCGAGTGTAGCTCCAACAGGAAACTCTAATGATTTTTTTTTAAACCACTAAACGATGAGAGAAGTAGACGATTAGTTTTAATATAAGGAATGTGAGTTAAAGGTTCTTTCTTTTTATTATTATTTTTGCGAGTAACTTTTTATTGTTTTGCATGTGAATAACGGTTTTCCGTAGGTGTGAGATATTATGTATTGAAATGGTATCATAATTAATATTTGGTTAAATGTGCGTTTTGCAGACTTTGCTGTTGAAATGGCATCAACAGCTGGAGCTCCGCAATGGTTGAGGGGAATAGTTAAAGCTGTTCCATCTGGCGACAGCCTGGTCATAATGGGGAACACCAAGACTGGAATTCCCCAAGAGAAGACTATCACTTTGTCATCCCTAATGGCTCCTAAGTTGGTATGTTATTTATTCAAGAAACTGTTTTGTTCTACTTCTTTTTCTTTACTTCTTTTTATTGGTATTGCTAAGTCGCTAACATGTTGTCCTTTTTACTTTGTGAGGCTTTTGGGATAATAAAAGCATGCCTTTATTTTACTCTCAACTTGGTGGGGCTTATTCTTTATTTTCCATTTGTAGGCCCCCCGCAGAGGAGGTTCTGATGAGCCGTTCGCGTGGGAGAGCAGAGAATATTTGAGGAAACTTTCTATTGGAAAGGTGATAATTACTCTTCTTTGTTTGTATCAGAAAGAATTATTTTTTTCATATGAAATGTGTCTCTCGAGACATCATGTTTTGAATATATTTGGCTTTTTGTGTTTTAGGAGGTGACATTCAGAGTGGATTACGCTGTACCTGCTATCAATAGGGAATTTGGCTCTGTTTTCCTTGACAACAAGAATGTGGCTTCCCTTGTTGTTGCTGCAGGCTGGGCAAGGGTAATCTAGTTCAGAAATATTATCTCCTTTGAAGCGTTAATGTTTTGATTTGATCTGACATTTTCCCTTCATCTACTGCAGGTTAGGGACCAAGGTCAGCAGAAAGGAGACGTCAGTCCTTACTTGGCAGAATTGCTACGTCTTGAAGAACAGGCCAAACAGCAAGGCCTTGGTCGTTGGAACAGGGTCAGTCTCATTAACATTGATCGTTTTCAAGATGTTTCTTTCATGTGCTGCATTTTGGTATTATATATTATTTGATTTAGAAAATTGAAATAACAATCATGGCTTGTTACTCTCTTTCAGGAACCAGGTGCTTCTGAGGCCGCCATTAGGGACCTGCCGCCTTCCGCTGTCGGGGATGGTGGTAATTTTGATGCTATGGCTCTTTTGGACGCTAAGAAAGGTAGCCCCTTGGAGGCTATTGTGGACCAGGTTCGTGATGGAAGCACCATTCGTGTTTATTTGCTTCCGGAATTTCAGCATGTCCAAGTGTTCGTCGCAGGGATTCAGGTATATATGAATTCTTTTGGGAAGAGCTTTGCCAGAGGTTTTTTTTTTTTTTTTTTCAATAATATATTTCCCCTTCTCATCATACATTCAATTTTTTTTTCAACCAGGCTCCATCTGCTGGCAGAAGGGCTGCAGCGGAATCTGTTATTGCTACAGAGTCGCCTTCTGGTGAACAAAATGGAGATTCCACCACTGAAGTTCGTGGTCCACTAACATCTGCACAGAGACTTGCTGCTGGGACAGGAAATATGGTTGAAGTTCCCGCAGATCCATATGGGAGAGAAGCAAAACATTTCACAGAGATTCGTGTATTGCACAGAGATGTGAGTTTTATTTTGTCTCACTGATATTTTTACACTTTAAAAATGCTTAGGTCTCTATGATATATCTGTGATGTTGTCGTTTACAGGTCAGGATTGTATTGGAGGGTGTTGATAAATTCAGCAATTTGACGGGCTCTGTCTATTATCCTGATGGAGAATCAGCAAAGGACTTGGCATTTGAGCTTGTTGAAAATGTGAGTTATTTCATAATATTAAAATGGTCTTTAACATGAGTTGAGAATCTGTTTTTTCGTTCAAGTCTTTGTTGAATTAGTTTATGAATCAAATGAGTCCTTTCTTCCATCTACCTTTCCTTTCTTCAAGATCCCATAATTTGTTTGTAAAAAACTAAAATACAGCTGGACTGAGAGTTGTCGTTGTGCTAAAAATCGGGCATATAGGCTTTCTCGATACAATTATTCTATCGTTGTCAATGAAATCGGACTCGAACAGTTGTTTGTTTACATTCAAATTGTGTGTTCAAATGTTTTGGCATATTCAAATATACTTGCAACTTCTTGCTATCAGTTTTTTCTTTCTAGCTCTCTTTTTTTTTTTTTCTACTGCTGTCTCCTTTATATCATTATTTCTCATACTAGTTACCTTTGATGCTCTAGGGTTTGGCTAAATATGTGGAGTGGAGCGCAAGCTTGCTAGAAGATGATGCTAGACGGAAGTTGAAGACTGCTGAACTTCAAGCAAAGAAGACCCGACTAAGAATCTGGACTAATTACGTTCCCCCAGAAACAAACTCGAAGGCCATTCATGACCAGAACTTCACTGGAAAAGTAGGTTATTTGTTGGTTTTAGTGTTCAGTGGTCTTCTGTATTCTGGACTCTATTCATTCTTCGAAACCTTTGATCGTTATGCAGGTCATTGAAGTTGCAAGTGCAGATTGTATTGTTGTCGCTGATGATTCCTTGCCATTTGGAGATCCAAACGCAGAGCGAAGAATCAATCTCTCAAGTATAAGGGGCCCTAAAATGGGCAATCCTCGTAGGGATCAGAAACCCGATCCTTATGCCCGTGATGCTAAGGAATTTCTTAGAACACGCTTAATTGGCCGTCAAGTATGGTTCTTGATTTTTCTTTTTTAACGATATTTCATGTACTGAAAAAATAATATTATAACGTTGACATTCACTTTCATATTTGCAGGTGAATGTTTCAATGGAGTATTCCAGAAAAGTTACCTTCGCAGATGGAGCAGCATCTGCTGCGGGCCCCGCAGATTCAAGGGTGATGGATTTTGGATCTGTTTTCCTTATTCATCCGCCTAAGGATGGTGAAGATGCTGCGGCAACTGGTGCAGCTGCCCAACAGACCGGGGCAAACATTGCCGAGCTTTTAGTTGCTCGTGGTTTTGCAACTGTTGTTAGGCACCGAGATTTCGAGGAGAGATCAAATTTCTACGACGCCCTCCTTTCTGCTGAATCACGTGCAATTTCTGGGAAGAAGGGCATGCATTCTGCCAAGGACCCACCTGTGAGACATGTGACAGACCTTCTAACGGTTAGTCTTTTCTTCTAAGTGTTATTGTTGTGACCTGTGGGTGATAAATATTAAAAGACTGACACTTGTTAATTTTTTTTTTGTCTGTTCTGTAAGGCTAATGCGAAGAGAGCAAAAGACTTCTTACCGTCTCTGCAACGCAGTAGAAGGATGCCAGCTGTTGTTGAATACGTACTCAGCGGTCATCGTTTTAAGATTGATATTCCCAAGGCAACATGCAGTGTTGCTTTCTCGTTATCTGGTGTTAGATGCCCAGGCCGTGGTGAACCTTATTCTGAAGAAGCCATCGCTTTTATGAGGCGGAGAATAATGCAGAGGGATGTTGAGGTACTATTTTACCCCTCTTATCCTAGTTCTTTGTTGTTTGTACTCGTGTGTCAGCGTTTGATTGGTACGCACCTTTTACATGCAACAGATTGAAGTCGAAACCGCTGATAGAACTGGAACTTTCTTGGGAACCTTATGGGACAACAAAACCAATGTGGCTATACCACTTTTGGAAGCCGGGTTGGCCAAGCTTCAAACTTTTGGCTTGGATAGGATCCAAGATGCTCATCTTCTTACTCAAGCTGAACAGTCGGCTAAACAGAAGAAGTTGAAGGTGAATTTAATATTGAAGTCTTTTCTTTTTCTGCAGTCACTCTTGTTATGTTCTCTTCTCCTTATCGTTACATATTTTTTCAGATATGGGAGAACTATGTCGAGGGAGAGGATGTCCCTAACGATTCTGGTTCAACTGTTGAAAGAAGACAGAAAAAAGAGGAGTTGAAGGTATGTGAATTACTAGAGGTGCTCTTGACTTGGTATTTTTTTTTCCGTTTATAAAATTAATCATATGTTCTTCTCAGGTTGTGGTTACCGAAGTGCTGGAAGGTGGAAAATTTTACGTTCAGTCAGTAGCCGACCAGAAAGTGTCCGCTATACAGAAGCAGCTTTCTTCTTTAAGCCTTCAAGACACTCCTTTAATTGGTGCCTTCAATCCCAAGAAGGGGGATATTGTTTTGGCTCAGTTCAGTGCAGATAAATCTTGGAACCGTGCAATGGTAAGATGAGTAAGACGTTAGTTTCAGACAACATTGTCACATGTTTCTAATCCGTTCTGACTTTATTTTTTATGCTTGAAGATTGTGAACACACCACGTGGTGTTGTGGAATCTGGAAACGACAAGTTTGAGGTGTTTTACATAGACTATGGGAATCAAGAATTCGTTCCCTTCAGCGAACTTCGCCCCCTCGAAGCTTCGGTGTCATCTGCACCCGGCCTTGCCCAGCTTTGCAGTCTAGCACACATCAAGGTTCCTGGCTTGGAAGACGATTATGGACAGGAGGCAGCTTTTCGCCTGAGCGAACTCCTTTTAAGTTCTGCAAAAGAATTTAAGGCTGTGATTGAAGAGAAGGACACATCAGCTGGCAAAGTCAAAGGACAAGGAACCGGGACCGTGTTTTTGGTCACTTTGATCGATACTGAAGCTGAGACAAGCATCAATGCAATTCTGATACAGGTATATTATCGAATACAAACTCTTTGAAGAATTTTTTTGTTTTGTTTTCGAGTTTATAGCATTTAGTACCCCCTGTGTTGTCTCGAATTGCTAAAAGACCCCACATGTTATTTTATTCACAAAGCCCTCCTTGGAATGATATTTTTTTAGCACGCAACCCCCTAAATAGTGAGTTTTAGAGTAGTAAGCTAGAAAAAATTGAATCGTGGGTCGGGGCATCTGCCAATAAAATAACATGGGGGGAATCTTTTGACAATTAGAAACAATACAGGGGTGGCAAATGCAATAACCCGTTTGTTTTTAATGATTAATAATCAGCTATAATTAATTAATTTTTCTTTTATTTAAATTGCAGGAGGGACTTGCTAGGTTGGAGAAAAGGCGAAGATGGGAGCCTAAGGACAAGCAGCAAGCTTTGGATGAGTTGACTGAAGTTGAAGAAGCAGCTAAGAAGGCGAGGCTTGGTATGTGGGAGTACGGTGATATTGCTTCTGATGACGAGGATAACGGTCCTCCTGCAAGGAAACCCGCTGCTGGAAAACGGTAATCAAGAAAAAATAAAAAAAAAGACAGAACTTTGCTTTTAATTCCAGCCTGTACCATTACTAGGTAGTAACTTATGGGCCCCACATCGGTCCGATTACGAGCCGGTCTTGAAATCAACTACAGGTAGAGATGTTTTAATTATAGAGAGCGAACTTTTAAAAGGCCGATACTGTTTCGATTTTTACTTGTATCTTATAAAAACTCGGCCATAAGTTGGTTGTTTGTAGGTGAGGAAACATTTTTGTTTTATTTATTTTACTTTTTTTTTTTTTAAAGTTGGATCTTAATAAGGCAGCTGCCTACAACTTTGTCTTGAACTTTTTGTTGTTTTATCTATTAGAAAAGAATTTTTGTTTAATTTGCATGTTTTTACATATATATATTAGGTGGCTTGAGTTCAATATTTTTTCTGTGGTGGAAGTTGAATTTTATGCTATGTAGTCATGTTTCTGTTTCATTGTTATTTTGGTGGCGTTTCATATTTTACTACCATATTTGAGAATTATGCAACTCAAATTGAAGAACACAAGTTGATCGATGTAATCGGTTATTACATGAGAGAGTTACGTTCAATATATCTTGTTTTACTATTGTATGTAATTATTAGAGTAAACTGCAAAAACTACCCCTGTGTTATCTCGAAATAGCGAAAACCCCCCTGTAATAAATAAACTAGCAAAAACCCCCCTGTGAAATTTAGTCAAAGGCAGAATCTCCCCTAGCTGATTTTTTAGACTTGAAATGACAAAACTGTCCCTCAAAATGTATTTATATATATACATATTATATGTATATTTATTCTTTTTAATTTGTTTGTTTAGAAATTAAAAAAAATAGTAAACAACTAAATTGATTATTTTTTAAATAAAATAATTAAAATATTTATAAAATATAAGAATTTATTAATTGCAAGACTCCAGGGGTATTTGTGTCTTTTTATATCAAGTCAACCCTCAAATAGTTCCATAGGGGGGTTTTTGCTATTTAAATAATTTCACAGGGGAGGTTTTTGCTAGTTTATTTATCACAGGGGGGTTTTTGCTATTTCGAGATTATACAGGGGTAGTTTTTGCAGTTTACTCTAATTATTATGCAACTCGAATATCGGGTGTATAAAATATGATGGTGGTAACATATTTTTCGACTTTTCAACACGACTTAAATCAATGTGATCGGGGTCACATTATTTTGTTTTTTTACATTTATCGGCTTTCTATTTCACCATTATGTAGCCATCTATCGGCTTTCTAATGCGACTTGAATTGATGCAACTAGAGTTCGTGTGAGAGAGGAAAAATTATTGCAACTATTATAAAAAAATTTGTGTAGTGATATGCCTAATTGGGCCAACCCAATGGGCCTACAATTTCTTTACCTACTGGGCTACGAGCCCAATATCGAAGACCAATATCACCGAGACCCAAACACCTTCAAGTAAGACTTGGGCCCAACAAAGCAAACCCAACCCAATAAACGACATATAAATAGAGGTTTTACTCATTTTATTAAGGTACGTCCTATTAACTGAGCAATACAAAAACGCGTATTCTCTGGACTATTTCTATGATCAGCACGTCTGACTTGAGCGTCGGAGGGGTTTCCGCCGGATCAACCCCCGGCTTAGTTCATGTATTCTATGATCGCAGGTACCTCAGGATCATCAAGTTGTCAAGCTACTGATCTGCTTTGCTCTCCCAGTTCATTTTCTACACCACCCTAGGTGAGCTACATTTTAGCATCATCATTTTGGCGCCGTCTGTGGGAACGATGCAAACCAGATCACGTAGCCAACAAGATCCTCCTGAGGCGTCTGCTCGGAGAGAGAAGGACACAGCAAACGACCTCCCACCTCGTGGAGGCTCTGGCTTGCCACCTCCTCCACATCCCATGGATCCGCCTCGCGAGGTTCAGGTGATCCCCCTTGGGGACCAACCACTCGCCGATCCACCGCTCCCTGCTCCTCGAATGGTTCTAATAACCGAGGATGCGCTTCAACGCATGATAGCAGAAACTTCAACTCGCGCTGCCATAGAGGCCGTGACCCAATATATCGCCACGATGGGAGCAAATGCTCCCAACGCGATATCAGCACCTGCTCCACATGTGGAGCCATCTATGGCACCACCGCCGTCGACCCCCTGGGGGCTTACATATGCCCCCAAAATATTTCGCTCGCCAAGGGTTATCGACTCCCTGGGGACTTACATCGCCCCCAAAATATTTCGCTCGCCAAGGGTTATCGACTCCCTGGGGGCTTACATCTGCCCCCAAAATATTTCGCTCGCCAAGGGTTATCAAATCCCTGGGGGCTTACATCGCCCCCAAAATATTTCGTTCGCCAAGGGTTATCGACTCCCTGGGGGCTTACATCTGCCCCCAAAATATTTCGTTCGCCAAGGGTTATCGACTCCCTGGGGGTCACATCGCCCCCAAAACATTTCATTCGTCACAGCAGGAGCCAACGCTCCTCCTCGTGAGGCCCCACTGGGTCCTCAACATGATCAATTTCTACTTAATTCTCGAACGGTTCAGATAACCGAAGAAGACCTTCAGCGTATGATCACGGAAGATCCAACTCGTGCTGCCACTGAATCAGTGGCACCATATATCGCCAAGGTGGGGCATCTCACCCCAGTGGTCCGTGATCGCCTCATCCTAAATGGGGGGCTATCCCATCCTAAAGTTGGGCATCACATCTCAATGGTGGTACATCCACTTACCTTTCAACCCCAAGGGGTTTCACATCCCATCAAGTGTTTCACGTCCCTAGTTCAAAAACAGAAAAAATGGTATGACGCGCACGCGCGAACCAATGGCACAACCATGCGCATCCACCTCAGACCATAGGTCTCGAACGCCTCATCCTACAGTGGGCAGTTATCCCCATCCTAAGGTTGTGCATCACCCTTACCTTTCAACCCTAAGTGGGTTCACATCACATCTCAAGAGACAAGTATAATCTCCCTACTCAAAAAATAGAACATCCCCAAGGGGGTGCACATCCCATCTCAAGGAACGAGGATAATCTCCCTACTCAAAAAATAGAACATCCCAAGGGGGTTCACATCACATCGCAAGAGACGAGGATAATCTTCCTACTCAAAAAATAGAACATCCCCAAGGGGGTGAATATCAACCACAAAAAAAAAAGAAAAAAGAAGAAGATGAAGAAAAAAGAAAAAAAAAAAAAGAAAAAGACTAAAAAAAAAAAAAGAAGAAAAAAGAAGAAGAAGTTGAAGAAAAAGAAACAAGAAAAAAGAAGAAGATGGTGAAAAAATAAGAAGAATTAGAAGAAGTTGAAGAAAAAAAAACAAGAACAAGTCGAGCCAAGCCGACCGCCCCCCCCAAGCCGTGCGCGCGCCTCCAAGTCTCGAGGCGCGCGCGCATCAATTTCTAGATAAAAAGAAAAAAAAAAAAAAAAAAAAAAAAAAAAAGAAGAATTGCGCAGCAAAAGCGTGCGCGCGTGGCGGAAACGCGCCAAGCGCGCGGCCCCCAGTCCACGCGCGGGTAAACAAAAAAAAAAAAAAAAAAAAAAAAAAAAGGCGGAAAAGTCCTGACAGTCTGCGCGCGTGGCAGCCACGCGCTTACACGTGATTCGCGCGTGTGGGACACGCGCCTGCAGCATTTTCCACCTTGTCAAATCGCCATCACGTCATCTTTCTCTCTCCGAATTAAATGCATGACCCCCCATAAAGCATTGGCAGCTCTTCAACCTATGTCTACGTAAATAAAATGTGGCACAACCCCCAATAAAGTTTTGCACAACTTCTCTCTCCTATCATTAATAGCGCGCGCCTTCCCAAGGCGCTGCGCGTTTGAATGCGCGCGCGCACGTTCTTCCAAGCGCGCCGCCTCCTACTTTGGAGCGCGCAACTCTCGCTATTCTCTACCAAATTACGCGCGGTTTTCACCTTGCTTCACCAAATCGCGCGAGAATTTCAACGCGCTCCACCAAATTTCACGAGCTCTTCAGCGCGCCTCACCAAATCGCGCATGCTCTCACACGGATGAATAAAAATTATTATTTCTCCACACCATGCCAACAATTAATGGTACACCACAACATCGATCTACTCTCGACACGATCCAGTACCCTTTTTCGACTAGACTTCCACATCGACTCGAGAGTGGGGGGCTTGCAACACAACTCCCACGAGGAGCCAATTCCCTCGGGTCTACCATAGCGAGATAACTCCCACGAGGAGACCACTCGCTCCACCCTATAACCCGTTGCGAGGTAACTCCCACGAGGAGCCAACTCCCTCGAGTCTCATAACCACAGCGAGATAACTCCCACGAGGAGACCACTCGCTCTGTCCCACAATTCGCAGCGAGACAACTCCCACGAGGAGCCAACTCGCCCGATACTACAACCCGTAGCGAGACAACTCCCACGAGGAGCCAACTCGCTCGGTACTACAACCGGCAGCAAGACAACTCCCACGAGGAGATAACTTGCTCAGTCATATAACCCGTTGTGAGGCAACTCCCACGAGGAGTCAACTCCCTCTGGTCTACGAACCCACAGCGAGATAACTCCTACAAGGAAACCACTCGCTCCATCCTACGACGCGCAGCGAGGCAACTCCCACGAGGAGCCAACTCGCTCGGTACTATGAACCCATAGCGAGATAACTCCCACGAGGAGCCAACTCGCTCGATACTACAAATCCGTTGCAAGGCAACTCCCACGTACAACCACCTCGCTCGATAATAAGACTCGCTGCGAGACAACTCCCACGAGGAGACAACTCGCTCAGAGCAACCTCAATCCCACGCTCCTCAATCGCGCGTCATCCAATGCTCATACAACTTCGCTGCAAGACAACTCTCTTGAAGAGACAACTCGCTCGCAATGCACTACATAATCGCAAGCTCAAGTTAGCACGATTACAACCCTAGAAACACTTAGAGATATTATGAGAATCTATATAGCCTGGCCAGCTTGATTACTCAAAATTTATCTACTTGTTTTCGATGGGTCCTTCATTAAAACGTGGCCACGGTCCAAACATACTTACGACCCACGAGGTCTAACAAGGGGCACGATCCCCATAAAAAAAAAACTCTTGAGAGCCTGATCCCCTCCTCAAGTACATCACGCACAAGGCTATATGTAAACACATACAAGCAACGCGTCAAAACATTGACAACGTCGACAAATAACAACTCCCACGAGGAGAATACTAGCTCCGTGCTACTACATTATCGTGAGACAACTTCCACGAAGACGTAACTCGATCAACTCGATTACCCCAGAGACAACTCCCACGAGGAGATTACTTGATCCGTGCTACTACATTATCGCGAGACAACTCCCACGAGGAGATAACTCGATCAACACTATTACCCCGCGAC